CCCCCCGGTCCCCTTGTGAGGTGGAGGTGTTCTGTATTTCGTATCAACCTAGGGCAGGCAGTAAGGCAGTATTAGCGAGGACAATAAATAAAATAGCTGAAAAAAAAAGAATGCTAATGCAGCCATCACATCTGACACATCTGAGGATTGGTAAGTTGCAGTATATTACAGATTAGTTTTTGGATGCACTTTAAAGGGGTTCTAAAGCCTCCCGTTTCTTTGCCTATATCTCCGCTGTGCCCGGGATCAGCATGGCGCCTGTGTCACAGGGGATCAGAGAGAGCTCGGTACACGCGCTCCCCCCGGTCCCCTCTCCTCTGAAAGGATGCAAAAGTGTTGTATAATACATCACTTCCGCATTCTTGTGTCACTCTCCAGCTTCAGAAGCTGGAAAGAAGCTGATGGAGCACATCTGTGCTTCATCAGCTGGGGGGTGCTAGGTGACATTAGGGGTCTTGGAGACCCCTGATGTCTCCATAAAGAGGACCTGTCACATATTTCACTATCACATAGGGGGGTTTTATTAGCCCCCGTATGTGATAGCAATAAAGTTTAGTGGAAAAAAAAAAGGAAAAAAAATTATCGGTGATAGATAAGGTCTCACAGAATTGCTGAAGTTCTTCCGGGAACCGGAGGACTACTGGCCTCCCATTTTTACGTGCTATTAGGCAGGACGGGAATCCCCATCTATAAGGGATACCTGCAGCTTGAAGGATTTCCAAAAGTGGACGCATGGCCCTGCGGCGTGCAAGAGTCTCTCGTGCCAAATCCGGGAAGATCTGCAGTCGTGCTCCGTCAAACTCCACCGGTGGTTGCTCCCGCAGTTTCCGCATTATGTTCTCTTTCTCTATATGATGATGGAAACGGCATAATACGTCCCGTGGGATCTCAGCTGCCATGCTGCGTGGACGCGGTACCCGATGTATAAGGTCAAACTTGATTGGGGTAGCTGGTATTTGTCCCGTTACTTTATTAAATATATTCCTTAGTGCCTCTGTCAATTCCAGATCCGTTATCGCCTCAGGCAACCCCCGGACCTTCATATTATTCCTGCGGCCCCTGTTTTCCTGATCTTCTAAGCGATAAGAGGTAGCCCTTTGGGTCTTATTTATAGAGTATATCTGCACCTGGAGAGTCCTAATTGCCACTGACTGAGAATCTAGTCTTGGCTCCCCTTCTTCCACTCTGTATAACAGTTGTTTCATCTCACCCCTTATAGCTTCCATATCAGATTTCATTGATTGTTCCAGGTGAGCAAACATGTCAATTAGCTCGTTTTTTGTAGGGAGGGTTTTCACTATTTCCTCTATCGGTAATAATATGGAATGGTCTAACTCACCCCCTTGCTCCTGCCCAAGAGCTGAAGAATCCATTGATTTCTGGCGTGGAGATTGCCTGGGGGAAAGACTTGTACGAGCCACTGACCCCTGTACTCTGCTCAGAGTCTCAGCCGACAGGTAGCGTTGCAGCGGGCTCATAGTTGGAGCTTTCGGCGCCCCCTGTTTCCCAGTCTTCTTCCGCTTCATCTTTGCGGTCAGGTCTCCGCAAGCGGATCCGCTAAGTAGGTGCCGTCTCCCGACCGCTTAGAAGCCAGTAAGTGTGGGCAATGTGCGGGCTGATGGCGTGTAGCTGTCCGCTATGTAGGTGCCGTCCCCAGGCCGTTTTAGGAGCCAATATGTGTGGGCAGTGTGCGGGCGGGTGGCGCGTAGCTGTTCGTGCTAGACGCACTCAGCCGCCATCAGCTTCCGGACACGCCCCCCCCGTCACTCGGTCAGCTGCTCATCTCCGTTCCAGATTACATGATTGACTCACAATTGGTCTTCCTGTTCAGCCTAATGTCACTTTAACCCTTTGGCTGTCAGCACCATATGCCTTATGCTGTTGTCTGGTTCCTTCAATCATGGAGATTAAGCCTCACATGTAGGTGTAATTTAGAGCAGTCTGCATGCAAATGTAGCCTATCTAGGTACACCCCCTGCTGTGATTCATATTGTGTGTAAACGCACAAATCGCTCTGTCTGGGTTAAGGGTTGAAAGGGTTAAGCTATTTAAGAATTGTATGATGTAGAAATTTCCTTTGTCATGATCTGTGTAAACTACTCATTAAAGAAGAACTCTGAAATATAAAAAAAACCTACCCTTGCAGTAGGGCTACCCATGCACTACAAGGGTCAAGTGATGATTTTATCTAGGGGGGCTGTAAGAAGATATACTCACCTGATCCTCTGTCCTGCAGCAGTGACCACTCACTGCTCTCCCCCTCAGCATCCTCATGTCTAATGCAAGTCAACGGAGCTGCATAGGAAGTAATGATGTCAGCGGTCCTTAGACCGATGGAAAAAACACAAACATAAGTAAATGCATGGACCAAGGAAAAAGCCAGTGATAGCTGCACAGCCGTGCAGACTGTGCAGTCTTTGTGCAGACTGTGCAGCTCTCTGCCGTGACAGGGGAGGGGCTGGATTCCCCCCTCCCCGCTCCGATCCGCCAGCGCTGACTGGCGGAACGGACGGGGAGGTGGCGGGTACAGCTGGCTCTGCCTCTAGATAGGCAGAGCCAGCTGTCAGTCACGCAGCTGGGCGGATCTCGACGTCCATGTCGGGATCCGCTCCGGCGTCTCAGTATACCGCGAGCTGTATCTCGCGTTATACTGAGCTTAGGGTAACGGGAGGACGCTAGTTTGTGTCCTCCCGTTACCCTAAGGAGAACTATGGGGAAAAGCCTTAACCCCATAGTTCTCCTTTAAGGCAAGTAACAAATGCATTAACTCTAATTTTGGTGGAAGGTGTGAGGGGGTTTGAAACGAGTTTCTTATACAATTGTTTTTATATGTACAGAGAAAGGCTTTGTGAAAGAACACAGAAAAAAAACATATTTTTTGCCTTTTCATTTATTTTCTACAGGAGCATTCTGTCCAGAGCCTAGACTGTTACATGGAAAAGTAATACGAGGGAAGAAAACTGATGGATATAAAGTTAGGGATTCAATAACACTGGCATGTGATACAAATTCTAATCTAAATGGTGCAAACAAAGTAACCTGTGGAAATGATTTCCAGTGGAATCCCAATTTGCCAACCTGTGAGCTGGGTAAGTTCAATAATCATTAATATTTTTTTTTTAATACATTTGAGTGAGCCAAATTAGATGAAGCCCGCTTAAAGGAGAACTATGGGGTTAAGGCTTTCCCCCATTTCTCTTTAGGGTAATGGGAGGACGCTAGTCCTCCCGTCACCCTAAGCTCAGTATATATACTGAGATGCCGCAGCTGAAACGGATCCCGACAATTATGTCTGGATCCGCCCAGCTGCGTGCGTGAAAGCTGGCTCTGCCTATCTAGAGGCAGAGCCAGCTGTACCCGCCCCCTCCCCCGTCCGATCCGCCAGTCAGCGATATCGGAGCGGGGAGGGGGAATCCAGTCCCTCCCCTGTCACGGCAGGGAGCTGTGACAGGATCGAGAGGTGAGCGAACGCCGGTATATGTTCGCTCACTTCCCGATCTACTGAGCCGACCTGTGACAGTCTCATTGTCACAGGTCGGCTAGGACTATGAGGTGAGTGAAAAGCACTCACCTCATAGTTCTCCTTTTAAACTATTTTATATTTTCAGTAGTGTGTGTGTGTGTGTGTGTGTGTGTGTATACAGTATCTCACAGAAGTGAGTACACCCCTCACATTTTTGTAAATATTGTATTATATCATTTCATGTGACGACACAGAAGAAATGACACTTTGCTACAATGTAAAGTAGTGAGTGTACAGCGTGTTAAATTTGGTGTTGTCGCTCTCTCTCATACTGGTCACTGGAAGTTCAAAATGGCACCTCATGGCAAAGAACTCTCTGAGGATCTGAAAAAAAGAATTGTTGCTCTACATAAAGATGGCCTAGGCTATAAGAAGATTGCCAAGACCCTGAAACTGAGCTGCAGCATGGTGGCCAAGACCATACAGCGGTTTAACAGAACAGGTTCCACTCAGAACAGGCCTCGCCATGGTCGAGCAAAGAAGTTGAGTGCACGTGCTCAGCGTCATATCCAGAGGTTGTCTTTGGGAAATAGACGTATGAGTGCTGCCAGCATTGCTGCAGAGGTTGAGGGGTGGGGGGTCAGCCTGTCAGTGCTCAGACCATATGCCGCACACTGCATCAAATTGGTCTGCATGGCTGTCGTCCCAGAAGGAAGCCTCTTCTAAAGATGCACAAGAAAGATGCACAAGAAAGCCCGCAAACAGTTTGCTGAAGACAAGCAGACTAAGGACATGAATTATTGGAACCATGTCCTGTGGTCTGATGAGACCAAGATTAACTTATTTGGTTCAGATAGTGTCAAGTGTGTGTGGCGGCAACCAGGTGAGGAGTACAAAGACAAGTGTGTCTTGCCTACAGTCAAGCATTGTGGTGGGAGTGTCATGGTCTGGGGCTGCATGAGTGCTGCCGCCACTGGGGAGCTACAGTTCATTGAGGGAACCATGAATGCCAACATGTACTGTGACATACTGAAGCAGAGCATGATCCCCTCCCTTCGGAGACTGGGCCGCAGGGCGGTATTCCAACATGATAACGACCCCAAACACACCTCCAAGACAACCACTGCCTTGCTAAAGAAGCTGAGGGACAAGGTGATGGACTGGCCAAGCATGTCTATAATGATATTTATATATTTAATATATTATAATTATTTACATAATTAGCTGAATAAAAAAAGAAAAATATTTTAAAATGTTTTATTTTTCCCACAAATAATAGAACATTTGGATGCACCAAAACATCATTTTGGCTTAAAATGGTACTATGGGCAAAATGCCGATAGTACCAAAATGGCAGAAAATGCGGCCACAAATTCAGTGTATCCCTAGTTTCTCTCCTACCTACTGGGTGCCAGTATGTGTCCCCTCCGATCCCCGCTGCTATGTGTTGGCAGAGGCAGCAGGGATTGGAGGGGACACAGATCGGCGTCAACAGGGAGGAGAGAATCTGTCAGGAGGCTGACCGCTGCGGTACGGGGAGGAGAGAGCTGTCAGCTGTCACAGCAGGCCGAGCTCTCCTCCCACACCACCCTGCTTAGCCTCCTGTGACAGGCGGGTTAGGAAGGTGAGCGGAGTACAAGCATTCAGCGATCAGAACGAACTGATCGCTGAGTGTTTGCAAATAACATAGTATGCTTACTGTGTCCCCAGTTATGAATGAACAGGAAGTGGTCTATTCACCTCCTGTTCATTCATGATTGTGGATATAGTGGCTGTTACTATCTCAACAGTTTATGAATGAACAGGAACACTCAGTATAGGGGCTTCCTGTTCATTTCCAACAGGGGCTGCAGAAAAAGACATTGAGGACTCTGTATCCTCAATATCTTTTCATATTTTAAAAGGGAAATATCAGGGGTCTGTTTAGAGCCCTGATATTTCCACAAAGCCCCCAACAGTAAAGTACAATAAATAAATAAAAATAATTTGAAAACATTTTTAAAAATGTTAAAAAGTTGGAAGTGCATCCCTATAAAGCATTAAGATATATACAAAAACATTAAAACTAAACATCTATGCATATATATTTTTTTCATTATGACGAAGGGGGTATCAGTTGCGCATGGAAGAGAAGATTTTATATTCAGTTTAGCTTTTTTGACTGGTTGTAAGACTGGTTACAGCTGACCTCCAGGCAAACACCTGAACACACATATATAAGAGCTGTTTTACCTCCCAAAGTATTTGTATATCAGTCTATTCATTCTGAGATTTACATAGCTCTGCTACACAGCATGGCCCTGTTTGGCATGGAAGGAGACCTGATTTTTCGGTTCTGCAGTTCATTAACACTTACAGGTCTTGCCCCTCCCCCAGCCTATGACTGGACTGTAAAAGGAGAAGCAGTACACTGATGAGATCATGTGCTCATTCTTCTTATCAACAAGTTCCTTGCACTACAGCACAACTGATTGGCTCCCTGTGCTGCTTCTCCATCCCCATTCTAAGCTCTGCTGTACATGGATTGCAAGAGACTGATACCGAATCAAATTCAGTTCGTTATACTGCTTTCAAGTAAATAAATACATTTACTGATGTATTAATGAATGCAGCATCACATTCATGTGTCTCTTTTATATCTACCTGGAGTTCAACTTTACGTGGTGGAATGTTTTATAAAAAAAAGTAGTAATGATAAAAAAAACAGTATTGGCATTTAAAAGGACTTGATCATTTTCTTTAATAATATCTACCACTTTAATTACTAAGTACCAGAAGAGAAAAATCCTGATTCAAGTAAGTGAGCTGACTGACTATGGGGATCAGGAAGGATTTTTTTCTTCTCTTGTAAGGCAAAATTGGCAGCAATTGTACATACATATTAAATGGAAGTATTCACAAATCTAAAACTTTTTTTAAACAGTATGACAAATGTGTATTTATTTATTTTTCATTTGCATTTATTTCTTACTGGAGCATTCTGTCCAGAGCCCAAATTAATTAATGGAAAAGTATTACATGGGAAGAAGGCAAAAGGATATTACGAATATGATTCAATAACCCTGGATTGTAATGAAGGCTACAAACTAAATGGGAGGAAAAGACTATCATGTAAAGAAAATTCTCAGTGGAGTTACAAATTCCCAATCTGTGAACTGGTAAAGTTATTTTTATTATTATTATTATTATTATACAGGATTTATATAGGGCCAGAGTTTGCCCAGTGCTTTACACTAAAAAGGGAGACCGTACAGGTACAATACAATTCAAGATGAGAGGGTTATGAAGACCAGCTCGAGAGCTTACAATCTAAATGGAAGGGGAAAGTGAAACAAAAAAACGGGATAGATTTCCATGAAGAGATGAATTTTCAGGGATTGCCTAAGGGCAGACAGATTTGAATAAAGAGAGGGTGGAAAAGGCTCTGGAGAAGTCTTGAAAGCTAGCATGGGAGGAGGTGACGAGGAAGCTAGAGAGCAGGAGGTCTTGGGATGGCTTTGTATGTTAGCAGGGCAGGTGTTAGACTATTCTCCACCCTAGGCAAGACCAGCTACTTTACAAAAAAAAAATAGTTTTTTAATATAATGCCATGTTTTTTATTATTTTACTGTGTGCCATTATAAAAAAATATTTCCATGATAACACAATTATATAGTAAAACAC